GGGTCCTTCTAAAGAAAATTGCATGCATCCTTGCAAATAATAAATTATACATTTTTAATGAAACTCACCAACCGCCTGTTTTATAGCAAGGTTTTTAATTTGAAAATGTGCCTGAAATAACAGAAAGGCATGTGGGCTCATCATTTCGGAAGTCTTTTCTCTTATCAGATGCAAAACAACTCATCTACATTTAAATGAAAGCTCTGTGGCATGATCAGCCATCCATATGACTGTTTGAAGAGCGGTGGAGAGGTCCTCATTAATATACATGGAAATATACATAATGGAGACCATCACCAAAGGAAGTTCTAAAGCCTGCAGTTATAAATACACATTAATTTAGAAATATGTAGGGGCAGCCCCACCATGAGGAAGAGTGAAGCAGCAAAACAGAAGAGGCAGATGAATTCTCTGACAAATATTTTTWAAAAATCATAGGCTGTTTAAATTATAAATGTTGCCCTTGCAGTTGCCTKATTATAAATAAAAGCAGATTTTTTAAAAAATACTTAAAATWTGTMAYTWTAAATGTCCAGYWGCTARCWTATTCTAAGCAGAGCCASWRCTTWASCCTGAAGGAMTMTYTYMAKCWYMAGAGCYCWGGACAKWATRGYTGACATAGCAGMAAGARAAAAMWRCCYTRAKRMAKMTKYMTYARGGYWKTTTTYTCTTGCTSCTATGTCARCYATTCTRWCCWGGGCWCTKRWGMTKRARAKAKTCCTTCAGGSTWAAGTTCWGKSTCTGCTTAGAATAWGYTAGCAGCTRSACATTTAWARTKACATWWTTTTAAGTAACTCAATAAATGTGTGTTACAGTACTTTGAAATGCTACGAGCTGTTGGCTTGTACAAAACACGCTTCCTCTGATCACCTTTACCACAATTTCAAAGCCCACAAAAGAGAACAAGGCAAACCTTGTGCCAGCTTTGAACCATGTAATAATAGATGATCTGACAGTTAAATGGGCTGTTGAAATTTGAAACACATGACGTAACTGCTTTGGGAGACGGTGATCGGGCAGTTGGACAACATGGCCAGTCCAGCAAAGTTGATGGCCGAGGATCATTTCTTCCATTCTGATCAATGCTGATGCTTGTCCGCCTGTCTTTCCAAGAGATTTGCAGGATTTTTCAGAAGCAATCCTGATTAAATTGTTCCAGAAGTTGAGACTGGAATTTGTAGACAGTCCATGTTTTGCAGGCATACAATGGAGTGTTTTGGATTTGGAATGCCTGTATTTGTAAACACAAACGTCTTGGTATGTCTACAAATGTCCTGATCCTCAAACACTCTCTGTTTCATTTGAAATAAAGGCTGCACTCGTAGAGATCAGACAGTGTTGTATTTCAATATCAATGTTGACTTTTGTGGAGAGGTGGCTGCCAAGATTAAATGCACAGATCTTCCGATAGCCAAGCAAAGCAATAATGTGACCCACACGTTCTTGTGAAATGCCGATTATATTTGAAATTTCTCCCTGAGTGATACAACGATCATCCCGAAACAATCTGTCAACCTTTTGCTTGTGAAACTTGGTGGTTGCTGTCACAGGACGTCCAACTCTTTGTTTGTCGCGCAAGTCAGATGTTCCCACCTCAACATCTTTAAACTTACTCGCCTAATGATTCACAGTACTCACATCAGCACAATCACCATAAACAGCTCGCATTCTCTGATGGATCTCCTTTGGGGTGACACCTTCTGCTGTCAAGAATTCAATAACTGCATGTCGCTTAAGTCGCATAGACTGACCGTCTGTGCAGGGTTCCATATTGTAGCAGCAGATAGGAGAGATAATACCAAGAGCGATCCTTTGTTCGGAAGTCAGAAAAGTACGTTTATTTCCAGCTGGCACTTTGGAGTGGACTCTCATCCAAAAGCAAACCAGAGTGAGGATAAAGGCGTTGACTTTGCCTTTTATACCTCCTCAAATGCAGGAAAACAAAAAAAAACATGCTTCTACATACGTTAACATCATCATTGCATCATAGAAATGTCAAATTCTATCTTCCAACAGGCAAGAGGCAAGTCTCTATATTTCTTTCTAAAGCAGCTTAAATCCATCAGGGGCCTACTTTTGAGCTGTTAGGAGGGAGGGAGAGAAACCTTACTCTTTACTTATTTCTGTTGGTGCTAGGACAGGCTTATCTCCCCCCCCCTTCCTGGAATGTTTACCCCCCTCTTGCCTGTGCCTTGGATATAGATTTCCTTCACCATTCTTTTGTCCTGTCAGCTTGGCTTTTTCTAATACAGAGAGAATCTGATTTTTCTAAATTTCGGTGCTTCTAAAGTACATACCTAGAGAAGACAATTTTGCTGGGGAAAGTGGAAGGTAAAAGGAAGAGGGGCCGACCAAGGGCAAGATGGATGGATGGCATCCTTGAAGTGACTGGACTGACCTTGAAGGAGCTGGGGGTGGTGACGGCCAACAGGGAGCTCTGGCGTGGGCTGGTCCATGAGGTCACGAAGAGTCAGAGACGACTGAATGAATGAACAACAACAAAAGTACATACAATATATGTATAAATATCTATATTTCCAATACCTCCCCATCAATACTTCACACTTTAACAACACAACCGTTCAATGCTAAGGCTTCCTGCCAAAATGGAACTGTAGAGGAGAGTCTAGTGAACAAGCCAGTACCTGCCGCATACCAGTACTGCCATCTGTTGAGGAGTTATGAAGGTGGAGGCATTCAACCCTCGTAGATTGGGAGAGAGCAAACAAATTGAAATTGAATCCTGGTCAGTTGTAAGGCCAGGGTATAGGGTTACAGCCTGTGCTGGACAGGGTTACACTCCCCCTGAAGGCACAGGTTCGCAGTCTGGGTGTGATCTTGGACTCATCACTGAGCCTGGAACCCCAGGTTTCGGCGGTGACCAGGGGAGCATTCACACAGTTAAAACTTGTGCGCCAGCTGCGCCCATACCTTGGGAAGTCTGACTTGGCCACGGTAGTCCACGCTCTGGTTACATTCTGTATAGACTACTGCAATGTGCTCTACGTGGGGTTGCCTTTGAAGACTGTCCAGAAGCTTCAAACAGTCCAACAGGCAGGAGCCAAGTTACTAACAGGAGCGGCGCTCAGGGAGCATACAACTCCTCTGTTGCACCAGCTCCACTGGCTGCCTGTTTGCCACTGGGCACAATTCAAAGTGCTGGCTCTAGCCTATAAAGCCCGAAACGGTTCTGTCCCAACTTACCTGTTCGAACATCTCTCCTCCTATGAACCAGCTAGGACATTAAGATCGTCTGGGGAGGCCCTGCTCCCAATCCCGCCTGTGTCACAAATACATTTGGCGGGGACGAGAGACAGGGCCTTCTCAGTGGTGGCCCCTTGGCTATGGAACGCCCTTCCCAGAGATATTAGATCGGCCCCTTCTCTGTTGGCATTTTGTAGGAAGGTCAAGACCTGGTTGTTCAAGCAGGCAGTGTAACAAATATTGGAACATGGAACGACTGTATGACGAGATTGGATCTTGATTTTAACTGATGCCGTGAGTTATGTAGTATTGACTCTGTAATGTTTGTATATTGATGCTATGGTTTTTAATTGTTTTAATGAGTTTTATGATGTTCAAGCATGGAATTTTGATCCTGTAAACAGCTTTGAGTCACCCGAGGGCTGAGAAAAGCAGTATATAAATGGAGTAAATATTAAATACATAAATAAAATATAAAATGTTACAATAACTAAGTGTATGTGGGATCCACTTAGGAATTACTGAGAGGTGTTTTGGACTTCAACTTCCACAATTCCTAACAGCCTACCTGGCTAAACAGTACCTTAAATATTAAATATCCTTTCTGCCATGGATCACATCTTCACACTCATGCAGTTCAGAACTCAAGAACAGAGAAGCATCCCGAGCTCTGAAGATCACCTGGGAAGGAATCCCACTGGAGCATTGCAGCACACCCAAATACCTGGGAGTCACTCTGGACCGTGCTCTTACCTACAAGAAGCACTGCCTGAACATCAAGCAAAAGTGGGTGCTAGAAACAATATCATACGAAAGCTGACTGGCACAACCTGGGGATCACAACCAGACACAGTGAAGACATCTGCCCTTGCGCTATGCTACTCTGCTGCTGAGTACGCATGCCCAGTGTGGAACACATCTCACCATACTAAAACAGTGGATGTGGCTCTTAATGAGACATGCCGCATTATCACGGGGTGTCTGCGCCCTACACCACTGGAGAAATTACACTGCTTAGCCGGTATTGCACCACCTGACATCCGCCGGGAAGTAGCAGCCAATAGTGAAAGGACCAAGGCAGAGACATCTCCAGCTCATCCCCTGTTTGGGTATCAGCCAGCACGCCAACGACCTAAATCTAGACATAGTTTTCTAAGATCTACAGAGACACTTGCTGGAACACCTCAGCAAGCAAGAGTCCAAAAGTGGCAGGCTCAAACCCAGCACCTCAACCAATGGCTGATACCAAATGAGAGACTCCCCTGGGCACACAGAAGACTGGGCGACTTGGAAGGCATTGAATAGACTGCGCTCTGGCACCATGAGATGCAGAGCCAACCTTCAGAAATGGGGCTACAAAGTGGAATCCACGACATGCGAGTGTGGAGAAGAGCAAACCATTGACCATCTACTGCAATGCACCCTGAGCCCTGCCACATGCACAATGGAGGACCTTCTTGCAGCAACAAGTGGCCAGATACTGGTCAAAGGACATTTAACCAACTACCAAACTCACAAGTTGTGTATTTTGTCTGTTTGTTTGCTTTGTTCTGTTAGAAATGTAATATAATGGACTGGCTGCTCTGACACGACAAAATAAATAAATAAATAGTTCAGAACTAGGCAACCTTGAGGCTCAGGACAGCTTGCATTACCACGCCGGGTCAATAGGTGGCGGCAATGACGTACAACAACCTCTTTCCCCTGACCTCGCTTGTTCTAACGAGGCCTGCGCGGTGTGGGCGGGGCTTTTGTTGGCGCAGGCGCGCTACGTTCTCCCGTCAAACGAAACCACCCTCAACTCCTTTTCTCGCAGATGTTCTCGCGCGGCTTCCAAAATGGCGGCCTTCGGTGAAGAGTTCACGTTGTGTCCCTTACCCGGGGCTCCGCCGCAAGCCCCCTTGGGCCTGGAACCCGACGCCGACCGGGTACTACTCACGGACCGGGCCCGAACGGTGACGCTTTATAAGGTAAGAGGGGGCGGCTCTGCTGACGGTTGCGTGGCAACGGAACTTCTAACGGCAGTGACGGCAGCTCGCGAGGCCCTCTAGTGTGGCGCGTGGTGCCTGCTGCGCGAGGCGCCTCAGAGGCAAGAGGGGCAGAATGGGCCTTTTTTTCCTCTCCTTCCTTTCTCTCCCATGTGTGCTGCTGTGTTTGGAGTTAAATCGGATTGACTATCTCTTTGGACTAGAAGGGCTTCGAATTCGGAATGCCACATCCTTAGGCCCCTTCTTCACATTATAAAATCCCACATTATCTGCTTTGAACTGGAATATATAGCAGTGCGGACTCAAATAACCCAGATCAAAGCAGATATTGTGGGATTTTCGACCTTGCTATTCTGGGTTACATGACTATGGAGGAGGCCCCCAGATGTTTTGGCCTTCAACTCCCAGAAATCCTAACATACTGGTAAACTGGCTGGGATTTCTGGGAGTTGTGGCCAACACACCTAGGGAGCCACTGCTTAGGGGTTGCAGCTTGATGCCACTTTGACTGCCATGGCTCAGTTACAGGATCCTGGGAGTTGTAGCCAGAGAATGCTATGGACTTTAGAATCATAGAGTTGGAAGAGACCTCATGGGCCATCCAGTCCAACTCCCTGCCAAAAAGCAGGAACATTGCATTCAAAGCACCCCTGACAGATGGCCATCCAGCCTCTGTTTAAAAGCCTCCAAGGAAGGAGCCTCCACCACACTCCGGGGCATTCACAGCACATCCAAATGCTCAGAATTTTTCTAGGCGGGATTTTGGTGTATTCACAATATCCTCCTATACCTAAGAGGCCCAGCTTCGGCACAGCTGTATAACATCCACAATGAACTGGGTTATATGGCAGTGTGGACTTGGATAACCCAGTTTAAAGCAGATATTGTGGATTATCCTTCTTGATATTCTGGGTTATACAACTGTGAAAGGGCCCTAAATCATAGAATCAAAGAGTTGGAAGAGACCTCATAGGCCATCCAGTCCAACCCCCTGCCAAGAAGCAGGAATATTACATTCAAAGCACCCCTGACAGATGGCCATCCAGCCTCTGTTTAAAAGCCTCCAAAGAATGAGCCTCCACCAGGGGCAGAGAGTTCGTAAGGAGATTCGTAGGGAGACCAAGATGCTTGTTTGTAAAGTCATTGTCCTCCCAACTCTGTTGTATGCCTGAGAAACATGGACTGTCTACAGACATCACACTCAACTGGAATGATTCCATCAGTGTTGGCTCCAAAAAAATCCTGCAAATCTCTTGGGAAGACAGCCGGACAAACGTCAGCGTGCTGGAAGAAGCAAAGACCACCAGCATTGAAGTGATGCTCCTATGCCATCAACTCTGCTTGACTGGCCACGTTGTCCGAATGCCTGATCACCATCTCCCAAAGCAGTTACTCTACTCCCAACTGAAGAACTAAAAACAGAAGGTTGGTGGACAGGAAAATAGATTTAAAGATGAGCTTAAAGCAAGCCTTAAAAACTGTGGCATAGACACTGAGAATTGGGAAACTCTGGCCCTGGAGTGCTCTAACTAGAGGTCAGTTGTTACCAACAGTATTGTGGAATTCGAAGCGATAGAAATGGAGGACGAAAGAGAAAAACGCGTCAAGAGGAAGACACGTCAAGCCAACCCTGACTGGGACTGCCTTCCATCTAAAAATCGATGTCCTCACGGTGGAAGAACATGTGAATCAAGAATAGGTCACCACAGTTACCTATAGATCTAATACCAAGACCCTAAGCTTGGACAGCCATCCTACTCTAATACGAATGATTACCAATGATCATGATCTCATGGCAGTTAAAAGTGCCATCAAATTGCATTCATGCTGTAGTGTAGATAGATCCTTGGAGATGCGACCAAAATCTGAACACCACATTCATGTATGCTTTATATCAGGAGTCCTCAAACTAAGGCCCGAGGGTCATTTACCTGGCCCTTGTTCAGGGTCAACCTAAGTCTGAAACGACTTGAAACCACACAACAACAACAACAATAACAACCTTATCTCAGCAGCCAAAAGTAGGCCCACACTTCCCATTGAAATATTAATAAGTTTATATTTGTTAAAATTGTTCTTCATTTTAATTATTGTATTGTTTTAAGTGGGGTTTTTTTGCATTGCAAATAAGATATGTGCAGTGTGCATAGGAATTCAATAATATTTTTTTTCAAATTATAATCTGGTCCTCCAACAGTTTGAGGGACTGTGATCCGGCCCTCTGTTTAAAAAAATTGAGAACTCCTGCTTTATGTGAATAATAATAGTAGTAATAATAATTTTATTTCTTACCCGTTTCTCCTTGTTCCTTGAGATGGGTTACAACATGCCACCATTATATAAAGTACACATATTAAAATGTATAGGCAGGCAGTCCCCAAGTTATGAACAAGATTGGTTCTGTAGGTTTATGCTTACGTTGAATTTGTATGTAAATCAGAACAGGTACTTTTTTATGTCTAACTCCAGCGATAGATAGATAGATAGATAGATAGATAGATAGATAGATAGATAGATAGATAGAGGCTTTGGGTAGCACAGATCTCTGTGGTGTTTGTTTTGCTGTCAATTCCTGTTGTCTCATCCCCATTCTTAACCAGGAGTCATTTGTAAGAGACCTTCCACACAGCCATATAACCCAAAATATCAAGGCAGATAATCCACAATATCTGCTTTGAGCTGGATTATCTGAGCCCACACTGCCATGTAATCTAGTTCAATGTGGATTTCATACAGCTGAGTGGAAGGGGCTTAAGTCAATAGTTTGTAACCCCAGGACTGTCTGTATTAAAATACGCAGAATGAACATTAAAATATAATGAACACAAGGTGTGCGTTTAAAATTCATGATTAAAATTGGCCAGGTTATAAACCTTATAAACACATCCCGAATGTGGTTTATATGCAATATTTTTAATTTTGGCACAGTGTATGAACATTGGGCCATCAGAAAGTGTAGGTGTCACTGCCTCAGCATCCCACATGGATCAATTTGGATAAGGGATGCTCCACCTGTTTCTGTTTATGGGGTGTTTGCATTATAATTTCTGCTAATGTAATTTATCTATGTGTTATTCTAACAATATTTAAAGTCCACTTTAAGAGCCAAATTTGGTTTGAAAACATGCTTTAAGAACCAAAGGACATACAGAGCAATACAGTTTGCTGGCAATTCATTAGGAATAGAAGCAACCAGACTTGCTGAATGTCTGTAGTCTTGATAAAAACTGTAAGTAGTTTGTATACTCAGAATAAATGGTTCCAATTTTTTCGACTGCACAACAAGTGGAAGTTACCATGTTCCTTACTACATTATTTTATGCTGATATATTAGCATAGTAATAACTGATAATTTTGACTTTTTAAAGGTTTCAGATCAAAAACCATTGGGTTGCTGGTCCGTCAAACAAGGCCAAAAAATTACATGTCCAGCTGTGTGCAATTATGAAACAAAAGAATTTGTTATCGTTCACAATGACAAGGTATGTTTTGTTACTAACATAAGAAGCTAACTGGAATTGTGTGGGAATGTCAAAGAAAATGGCACAGATGTTCTGAAAATTGTGTGGTTGCTATCATCCACTCATGAATGTGACTGTTTTACCTTGTATTATTGAATCTAATCGGGATTATTGCAGTCAGTTTTAATTCTTGGACAATAGCAGTGGGGCACTGTTCTCCTTGAAAAGCAATGGCAGCTAAAAATCAACTGAATCAATGGCAGCTAAAAATTAACTATGATTAAACTATCTATTGCCCAAATATATGCTGATACGGGGTAATGAGATCCTGTTCATATTTTCAGGAGATAAATGGACCTTATTGCAAGTAACTAACTCAGAAGTAAAGATGGAGTTGAATACCTCTATTGAAATCAGCTTATTGCATAATACATTTTCATTGAAATCAACATAATTTAGTACTGGATTGTAAATCTTCTCTCCTACTGAAGATGAGGTTTTTATACACAAACATCAATACAAGAGGAAATGCTAAAGAGGGAAATGCAGAGATGTCTCCCTTTCCTCTTTCCTGTCCCATTTCTTTTGGGGTTTTATGGCTGTACTTTGTATGTTACATATGGATTAGGTCATTGCTTTAGCAGCAGAAATTTAATTTACAGCAATACAGATGTTTTGTAGACTCAGGACCCTTCCACACAGCCCTATATCCCAGAATATGAAGGCAGAAAATCCCACAATATCTGCTTTGAACTGGATTATCTGAGTCCACACTCAGATAATGTGGGATTTTCTGTCTTGATATTCTGGGATATAGGGCTGTGTGGAGGGGTCCTCATCCTATCCTTTTTTCTGTACTACACAAGTACTATTCAAAATGGTGACCCACAATCTATAGTTTCCTGGTGAATTTCTACCCTAGAAAAATACAGTTGTAGTCACTGTGTACAAATATGGTCCCTGGCACATTGAGGAGAAAAAAAATGTTGGTCCTCACATCAGATGGCTTGAGAAGTATTGTGCTAGGCTACTGTTAGATTCTCATCATGAATAATTTCTTTCTGTCCAGACTTTGAGAGTAATATTTATTAAATAGACAATTTCCGCTTTCTAAAACTACCTCTTTTTGTTTTAAAGATTTTACAGATATGGAAGGAGGCTGATACGAACTTGGACAAAGTCTTTAAAGCCACAGTAAGTGTTGATCATTTTTATGACTAATAAAGGTAACTGAATTTAAGAGAGAAAGAAAGTCAAAGGGCTTGGGAGTTAGAGTTGTATTACATGGAATTAAGGAAACAGGGATTAACTTCCAGTTTGTTTCCCAGATATACTAAATGCCATGGTTCCCTCGCCCTGATGTAAAAAGATTTCCAAAATAGTATAAATGAAATAAAACTGATTTCTTTTTCATTGCTTTTGAAAGAGCTTGTGTTGACAAGGGAGTAGAAGATTAGGAGAGAATGAGAAATATAACTTCTCAGGTTTGTGGAAGACTGATCAAAATGTATGGGGAAATGATACTGGAAGAAGCAAAGGACTTTGAATGATTTGTCCCCTGGGATACAGCACTGAGGAGCCCAGAATCCTCTGGAGCACCCAGAATGAGTGAAGGGGCAGCAGAGGAAGCAGTTAAAATGCCTTCTTCAGCGGAGAATCCCATTCATGGAGAGTTCGGGCCACATCCAATAAATAAAAAACTGAAAAATAGGAGCTGCTTTGGCGCAATGGGTTAAACCCATGTGCCAGCTGATCTGTTGACCTGAAGGTTGAGGATTCAGATTCGCAAGACAGGGTGAGCTCCCTCTGTCAGCTCCAGCTTGCCATGCAGGGACATGAAAGAAGCCACCCACAGGATGGTAACACATCCGTGCATCCCCTGGGCAACGTCTCTGCAGATGGCCAATTCTCTCACGCCAGAAGTGACTTGCAGTTTCTCAAGTCACTTCCGCCACAATTTTAAAAAACTGAAAAATCATTTCAGTTCCTGCTCAGTCAAAAGAAAAATGGAATAAAGGAAATATTCACCCTCTTACAATACACATCCGCAATCTTCAATTTGCTAAAGGAGATTTCTTTTTCTTTTGTGGATGTTAGGCCAGGTAAAATATAGCAAAGTGTTTCTACCCATTTTAAATGTCACTCTTAAGATTTTAGGAGAAAATAGCATATGTTTTATGTAAATCTAGTTAACCTTACAACAGGAATTGAGCTACAATTTATTCAGGTGCTCCCATTGATACTCAGAAGCAATTGCCTTTGGGAAAACAGTACACTGTTAATAGGATACAGTACAAAGATATGTAGGCTTTGTTACCCTTTGTTGTGCGGTTTGCATTTGAGAATAAATGACAAAACTTTTTTTTTCAGTTATCAGCCAGTGTTTATCGGATCCATTCTCTGCCTCATATTGAACCCCTGGTCCTGTTCAAGGGTGGTGGTGTGAGGAGTTTGGATACTTTGCTAGCTGCACCTCAGCAAGAAGTTGAAAATATCATTTCAGATGAAGTTATTAGGTCAGTGCTGCAGTCTGTGCTAGTATTCTAATTTAGAAGTCATTCAGAAGTCTTTTTGCTACTTAATCTGTCCAAATTCCTGCCATCTTATCCCACTCTAGTTCCAAAACTGTCTGCTGGGAATGGAGGGGTTATTATTGTGAATCACACATGGCTGTGTATCTTCATAATTCTGTTTTAATTTCCTTATTTATGTTCCTTCATTGAACACATTTGTTTTTCATTAGATGTGGTGCTTCTAAGTAGTGGTGTGGATAAAGATTGTTTGATTGTAAAAAAAGGGGGGGGATGGAATAAAACATAGGGTTTTTATTTCATATGTTTGAATTTGTCTAGTTCTTTTGTTAGCAGTTATGGTGGAGTGGCTGGGCATTTAGAACTTCAGAAAATGTATTCAGTAATTTTTTGCAAAAGTTTTAAACAGTGTGGTAATAATCATATAACTTTTTAGATGGAGTAATGTTTTCATGGGAGCTGAACAACCTGTTCTGACATTTATTACTGAGCAGGTGAGTGTTAAAATTTATAAAATTAATTACAATATAAGAGTCTGAATTTTTATTTGCAAATAATAATTCATAGCTGACAGTTTTAAATGCCTCTTGTGTCTATTTGCAATTGATACCATCATTCTATTATTGAATATAAGTGTGCTGTTACTGAATCTCAAAAGCTTCATCCTAGAGTTAATCTGCATTGCATAATTACTGCAGTTCAACACCACTTTAACATCCATGGCTCACTGCAATGATTTTTGGGATTTGTAGTTTGATGAGGAACCAGCACTCTTTGGCAGATAAAGCTGAATACTTTGTAAAACTACAATTCCAGGATTCAATATCATTGAGCCATAGCAGTTAAAGTGGGGTCAAACTGCATTAAATCTTAGTCTAGATGCACTGTTAGTAGATTAGATGTTCATAGTGTCTATATCAGGGGTCCTCAAACTAAGGCCCGGGGGCCGGATGCGGCCCTCCAAGGTAATTTACCCGGCCCTCGCTCAGGGTCAACCTAAGTCTGAAACGACTTGAAAGCACGCAACAAGAAGAACAACAACAACAATCCTATCTCATCAGCCAAAAGCAGACCCACACTTCCCATTGAAATACTAATAAGTTTATATTTGTTTTCATTATTGTATTGTTTTTTTTAAAAAATGCACTACAAATAAGATATGTGCAGTGTGCATAGGAATTTATTCATGTTTTTTTCAATTTATAATCCGGCCCTCCAACAATTTTGGGGACTATGACCTGGCCCTCTTTTTAAAAGTTTGAGGACCCCTGGTCTGTACTCTTTTAGATGACTGTTTATGTTTTTCTGTCCAGAATATGTGCTCCAGTAGATTTCTCTCAAGTTGTTCAGAATGCTTTATAGTAATCAGTTTTCCTCTTATTATCATCTTGCTGGTTTTCATATTTTATCCTCTTCGCTTTCTTCCATCTCACTGCTTCATCTGCACTAATATTAAGCCTAACCCCTCTTCCCCCCACCCCCAAACTAAATGCCTTCTGTCTCACTGTGATGTTATTTTACTGAGAATAGTTCTCTTGGAAATGAAAACAAAACCTTTTTCCCCTTCAGAATGGGAATTACTTCCTATACATTCAGCAGTGTAATACATGTGTCCATCAGAAGTTTAAACTTGAAACAGGGAGTGAGTCATCTACACCACTGAGCTTTGCTGGACACTTGAACAACAAAGTTATTACACTTCTATGTTTATGTAAGTATTTAAGCCCTGCTTTGATAGACATGCCGATTAAAAAGCATAACATTTCTTTTGATCCATCCTGTATTTAATTTTGCATAAATGACAGGTATAGCAGTAGATAGTAGATTCTAATTGTATAGTTTCTTCTAGCTCTTAGGAAAGCATAAACAAAAATGTGTCATTAAAGCTCAGCACTGAAATATATACTGCCTCTTTCCCTTCCTCCCACTCCTTTCAAATGTAAAAAGAAAATACAATCAGCACATAAACATGCACATACAGATGTGTGTGAATATAACAATGCTCTATTTTATAATGGTATTGTTAGCCATTTCATTTGCACATTGCGTATAAGGGTTGTACTTTGGTTTGTTTCTAGCTATAGTTTAGAAACTGCTATCATTATGTGTGAGCACATGCTCTATGCCTATAGAGCATGTTTATTTCTGTAATGCAAAAGTAAGTTGATGTTAGGCCTGAAGAACATTGCCGTATTAGAAACTGAGGCCTCTTCCACACAACTGAATAATATCCCACTTTGAACTGGAATATATGGCATGCGGACTCAGATAACCCAATTTAAAACAGATATTGTGGGATTGTCTGACTGTGTTACTTACTTCCTTAGGCGATCCCTCGTCCAAGTAGGATAATCCTCCAGGGTGGAGGCTGTGTGGAAGGGCCCTGAAAGTTGAAGCCCATTCTCAGCTTCATGATGTTAAAAATAATTAAAATAGTAGTGGGAGGGTTGTCTCTAAAGATTGAATTATAGGGTCTGTACAGAATAGTTTCTAGGGAGAATGAAAGCAACATCCTTTGGCAGTAGTGGTAATTGTGCTAGTTAAAGTCTTCAAGGAAGCAGCTAGTGAATAAGAAGGGGATAACCATATCTTTGAAGCTATGCCTCTTTGCTTTGTGTCGGAGTAATATTTTATGGATCCCAAATTGTATTTCATGTTTTCGTTAACCACCATGAAACTTGATTCTTTTATGTAGATTCAAATGGCTGTGTGTTTAAGGTTCTGGTGCCACTATCACCAAGTGTCTCTGAAGAAGAACATGTTCTGTCAATGTCACTTCTGGTCAGACTTGTAATATCTGGCAGTATTCTAAAAGGGACTTCAATTGCAATTCTTGATAAAGACCATATTGCTGTAACAGGAAGCCTGGATTCCCCAGACAGTAATGTTAAAGGTAAGGAATTATCCCGTGACATTAAAATAGTTTGAAGGAACCTGTTGTCTGTAAAGCAGAAAGAAATACCTAAGAATGTTTTAAAAAACATAATAATATTGCTTACGTACCTGAATTCAGATGTTTTATTTACAGTATGAAAAGTAAATAACAAATCACTGGCTGAGGGCTCAAAATCTAAGTAACAAAGTGGTAGAAGAGGAAGACCTAATCAAAGTTAACAAAAAGATACTGTACTGATGATTCGTACACAGCAAGAGTGATCCACTTCATTTTTTAGAAAATACTTTTTGAACTGTATTCTTGCAGATTAATAATTAAAGCAAAATATTGATGTGAGGCAAAGCGATAATTGCCAGGGGGGAGATCATGTACTAATTATTTTATGGGTATATTATCAAAGTGCTGTGCATACACTTCCATGTGATGTTTTAATTTAAGAGTATACTATGTACAAAAGTATTGGTTTTCTCTCTCTCCCTCCTTCTCACTCCCCTCTCCCCCTTTCAGATTGCTTTTCCATATGGAATATAAAGTTCCAGACATTGCAGGCTTCAAAAGAATTGCCACATGGAACCATTGGTCAAGTAAGTTCATGTTTGTTTGTTTTTTCATTTTAGCAAGCATGTTGTTCACAGAAACATTTGCACAGAGGATATGGGATGTATGAAAACGTCTTCTTAAATAAGTTCAATACTCAGAATTCGAATACCATATTTCTTCAATTGTAAGATACCATCAATTGTAAAATGCACCCTAATTTCAGTACCACCACTAAAAACACATAAGATATAGCTATTCTAATATGCACCCCATTTTTAGAGATGTTTTTATAGGGGGAAAGTGCATCTTAGAACTGAGGAAATACTGATTTCCGCTATCTGGTTCTCTTGTCTAAATGTGATGAAAAGATTGTGGAAAGTCATGAAATGAACCATTCAACTAACTGCATGGTTCCGTGGCAGTTGGTAGCTGTTTTGCTTGAAGAGCATGAGTGTAAATCTTACAGCTGTTCAAAAGTGTGACTGCTCAAGAACATGTACATAATTCACTCAACAGTCACAGAGGCTTGCTTCTTCTCAGAACTTAATGAGAATGGCTTATCTAGCCTAAGGAGTCTATAGCAGGCCTGTGTTTTGGAGATCTCTTCATATAATTCCTGATTATTGAACAAGTTGGCTAGGGCTTCTGAAACTTGGAGGCCAAAACACCTAGCGAGCCATATGTTGGGTAGGCCTGGCCGTCCTTGACGTTTCTGCAGGATCCAAAAGCTCACCTCATCATGTTTGTCATCAGGGAAAACATCCTTTACCTTTGAGATTATTGCTAACCAGTTCTAGTAGCAATCACGAACAGCAATAGTGGAAACTGCTGAAAAAAGAGCAAGGGTATGCTTAGGTGAGGGAAATTTACTACCATATGTCCTTGTGTCCTCAGTAAGCATCTGGTGTTGTCTTGACACCCAGACATTGTGCACTGCACAGTGCACAATGGATTCTTCAAAGTTCTTACATATCTCTTTGTTATAGTTGTAGGATCTGATCTGTGGCCATATTTAAGGAGCCAGGCATGCAATTAACCATACATTTAACATGAATTGGGAAAATGTGCGTCCCACCTCAGTTCTTTCAACAAAATTGGGGTATTCATTCAGATGAGGAAAAAACTTAACATACTATTGAAATTAGAAATCTCAAGAGTTCTGTGGTATTCTAGAGACTATATATGATGGTGGTATGAGTCCATTAATTCACTGCCCGCTCATTAAATATGGATTCATTTATTTACTTAGTGCTGGTGCTATGGCGACAAACTCTTTGTAACACATGGTAAAGAGTTAAGAGTGATTCTGTATAAGTGTGAAGCCTCATCCTTAGCTGCTGCTATTGGGAAAATCAAAGATACACAAATCTCAGGTAAGAACTAAATGAAAACATTTCTAAATATTATATATTGAGCCACTAAGACAATGGGCTTCATTTTAGTACGTGATGTGATGGGATAAACAACAAGGCTTTTTTCTCAGGTTCACTTGCTTCTACTTTTTGGTTGAAATACAGATGAGAAATCTTTCTTGCTTGTTTCTTGTGTTCTGTCTGGCCAAGCGCAATGTTTCCTTGTCATCAGGTGGGAAGTTTTGTTCGGTTAATTTGAATAACCCCAAAATTATAGACATACCTGAGATAACAAAGAATCTGAGAAGGAAACGTCTTTTTTCCCAGCTTTTCATTCCCTCTCAGTCTCCCTTGGTTTCTTGTCCTCAGTGTATAGAGAGTTGATCAGCATTGAGAGGGTGGTGAAAGCAGACTGTTGTTGTTTATCCATTCAGTCGCTTCTGACTCTTCATGACCTCATGGACCAGCCCACGCCAGAGCTCCCTGTCGGTTCTGGCCACCCCCAGTTCTTTCAAAGTCAAGCCAGTCACTTCAAGGATACCATCCATTCATCTTGCCCTGGTCTGCCCCTCTTCCTTTTTCTTTCCTTTTCCCCCAGCATCATTGTCTTGAAAGCAGACTAAAGAAACACAAGCTTTTGGTGTTGGGTTGCATAAGCATGTCTATAGTAATGCAATAAAGCTTGAGCATAGAAAAAAGCAAGATTTGGCTGTATTTGATCCAGGCATAACTTTTTGTGCCTCAGGTGAACAGCTGATGCCTTCAGAATCCTTTCCTGGGCATTTGTGAATAGCAACATGGAGAGATAACAGGAGAGCAGACATGTCTCAATAACTGCAAGAAGTGTGTTAGACAGGCATACGTCTATAGGTTTGGCCATCAAAACAGAAATTACAGTATTAGACAAGTGGAGGCTGGTTTAAAAAATCCCTAAATACATTTTGGAGGAAGCATTGAAGTAGTCTGTAGAAGATTCCAAGTGGGTTTTTTAATTAATTTTTTATTAACCTATCCTAGATGCTTCATTTTACAAAGGCAACCCTATGAACAAATCTTGCTAAGAACCCCGCCTCCCCAACAAGTTTGCCACAAGTCAGAAATTGTTTGAAGGCACACAATAATAAATATCTTCAGTTCTAAATAAAACATTTGCTAAAACACATTGAAGATGTTCTTCAAACTCTGTTCTTTCCATGTTATTTCTGCCTCTGGTAATACCCAGGAACACATCAACTTTGTTGATTGATATGTACCTGTATTTAGTGTGAGAAGATTTACGGAGTAAACAAAAGCCTGGTCCTTAGAGAATAGAATCTACAGCCTGAGTGTAGATTGGGGCATGCACTGGAAGAGAGTGACAGATGTAAGGAAGGTGTATGAGGTAAGGGGTTACAGATGTAAGGAATGTGTATGAGGAAGGTGTGAATAAATGTAGCTATTAAACAATCTTTAACTTGATCTAGTTTGTATGGTTAACTAAGGAGTCAAAGAAGATATGGAAGAGTTTGTGTACCTGAGAAATACTTTTTCTTGCAGTTCATATAAATATTGCACTGCAATAGCATTTCAATAGCATTTTAAGTGTAAACCTGGCCTCAGTTTGTGTTCAAATTTCATTCAAATCCAAGAAATACACACAATAAGTAAAGCTTTCTAAAATAACAGAATCAGAACTCATGCTGTCCCCGATATGATTTTATAACAGATAAGGAACACTTAATTAGAGGAAACATCAATAGCAGGGTCAACCCTGGATTGTATTTGGACGAGAATTTGCCAAAGAATGCCAAGTGCTTTAGGCTATATTTAAGAGCAGGAAACTGACGAAATACCCTTAAGTATTCCTTGCTGAAGTGAACCCTAAGAACAATTCATGAGATCATGGTAGGTTGGTAGGTGATTTGAAGGCACATGCTGTACCACATTGATTCCACAACTAGATTTCCATAAGTTCAACTTACAGAAATTACTTTTTTGAGGAAATACACATATGAAGCACACAATACCCCTTTGAGGTAATTTTTTGGTGTATTTTTGTTTCCAGGAATGAAATCTGTCTCTGTGAATTGGAATATGCGTCAGGAAAATGATACGATACATGTGCAGCTGGATCAGCATGTACCTTCTAAGAGGAAGGTATGTATGGTCTCAACCTGTATGCACGCACGCGCCCACACACGACGTCCCCTGCTAAGCGTTGCTGTGGCGAAGTCTGGTGATCTAGAAAATAAAGTAATAAGAAAGTGTTGGTTTCTAAAATATGTAATTTCTTTCTGCTTGTGAGTAAACAGTATTTCTTGTTGTTTCTTTGTCGGTGTTGAGGTAGAGATTGTCTGGTCTGCCTACTCTGGAACATGCAATGTAGAATTGTCCTTCTTTAGGGGTCCCTTTCAAATCTATGATATATATTTGTCGTGTGTGTGTGTGTGAATCATATATATATCTATGGCTGGATGGCTCTTTGTCAGGAGGGCTTTTATTATGTTTTCTTGCCCTGGTGAAGGGAGTTGGACTGGACGGCCTTAAGGCAGCATTTTTCAAGCTGGAGATCAGAACCCCCGGGGGGGGGGGGGTCGCCAAAGACCACCGAAAATACATTGTTTTTTGTTGGTCATGGGGGTTTTGTGTGGGAAGTTTGGCCCAATTCTATCATTGGTGGGGTATAGAATGCTCTTTGATTGTAGGTGAACTATAAATCTCAGCAACCACAACTCTCAAATTTGGTGGCAATTTGTCTAGCGGTTTTTGAGTTATGATGTCACTGAACAAACAGAGTATGTGTGTGTGTATATATACACATACATACATACATACATATACATATATACACACACACACACACAAACTTCCCTCCCTCTTTCTCTCTCTCCTTCCTTCCCTCCCTTTTTTCCTTTGTTCCTTCTTTTTCTTCTTTCCTTCTCTCTTTCTTTTCTCCCTCCCCCTTTTTTCTTTCCTTCTCTACCTCTTGACTGGGCACGGACAGGAAGGGAGCCTTGCAACCCTTAGCCTTGCTGGGCTCGGTGCAGGGCAGGCGGGATACACTTTTTGAGGCAGGCCTCACTCACCCAGCACCGCCTCTTTCTGTCATGGCTGTGGGGCGCCTTCCCGCCTGTTTGGTGGGAGGGTACGCAGGCAGGGTCACATGAAAGGTGCCCTGTGGCTGCAGCAGAAAGAAGGGGCCAGTGTGGGTGAGCAAGGCCCACTTCGAAAAATGCCTCCCTCCCCTGCCGGGCCCAGCGAGGCTGAGGGCTGCAAAGCTCCCTTCACGCATGAAGCAGCCACCCCCCCCCCCCACCTCACCAGGGGAAGGAGAAGTAGGAGGAGTCTGTGTTTAGTGAGGCCAACGAAGAGAGGACAAAGACTGGGAGGGAGGTAAAGAGGGCCCACGCAAGGCCCCGGCGTGGTGGGGGTGGGTAGGCCCAAAGTCAAGGAAGAAACGGGCCCTGTGGAGGTGATGAGTGGGAGAGAGGGGAGAGACACCAAATTGGGGGCCTAGGGAAGCCAAGGGTCTTCTTGCCCAGCCCAGTGGAGTATTCAACGCTCCCTACAGCTGTTTGTTTTTTTCCCCTCATGAGGGGGCGTGGCCAATGGGCCATTTTTATGCATGCACTGTACCTTGTTTTATCATGATTGTGTTTTAAAGTCCCTTTCACTGATTTTTTGGGGGTGTTGAGTGATGATCACTCAATGGGTTGTTAGGTGTATGCTGTCCAAATTTGGTGTCAATTCGTCCAGTAGTTTTTGAGTTATGTTAATCCCACAAACGAAACTTACATTTTTATTTACACATACATACATACATACTTACACACACACACACTGTTTGATAGCACTAAGACTGCCATGGCTCAGAGCTATGGAATCCTGAAACTTGTAGTTTTACTAGATCTTCCAGAGGGCTGCTCCTTCACCACACTACAACTCCCATGTTTTGATAATAGTGAGTTGAATCAAACTGCATTAACTACAGTGTAGATATATTCTATGTCTGCTTCTTCACCTTTGATAGCAGTTGTAGGGTTCTTTAAAAAAAAACAAGAATCAAGAGAGAATGCTACAAGAGGGAGGTGGTGATTTCTGCTGTTCTGTACCCTCAGTACTGAGCACTAGAGACACATACAAAGAGAATACATTTGAAGATTATCTTCTTCACTCACTTGCTCTAATCAAGGACAATTCAGTATCTGCAGATAAAAAGAAAAATCCTGGTTTCCCTTTTCTTTTGTAATTCAAATCAGCAATTTTTACAATTTTTCTTTGCTTGACAAAAGATATAGTAAACTTGCTTTTTGTGGTCCCACAGGGCCTATGATCTGAATCCAGCCTGCCACATACAAATTTTGTATGTTTATTTTTACAGTTACGATCAAGAAAAAGCGCTCCGCTGGAGATCCTCACGTTTGAACAACTTCTTTTAAGAATCAAGGTAAGCATATTTTGAAATTCTTAATAAAGCAAGGAGAGCGTGATATGCCTAATTTGAGGAGTAGTTCTTTTCTTGCTTGCTAGATTTTTAACAATTTTTAGATAGGCTTTAAAACAAAAGCAAAAAATCATCATTAGCAGTTTCTTTCAATTTGGGGTAATTTTAAAGAAACTAAATTTCATTTCCTGGATTAATTTTAGCAAGTTAACAAAATGTTGTTTAGTGTATTATATGGCTTTTTAAATTAGTTATATCTGAATAGTGGTCAGGAAAATCAAAACCGGATAATAAAATTTTACCCATACCATTCAGGTAAACAAATACATCCCTTTGTGCATTTAGATATTTCTCCCTCTCCAGGTAGCTTTCTGTCCTCATGATGCTTTTTTTCCAATGTAGAGCATATGGAAAGAGGAGAACCTTGTTGTGATAAATGCAGCAAATGTAAATGTTTATACTTGCAGATCAGTTGCAGTTTAAATTAACATTTTGATATTATTGTGTTGTGTTTATGTATTTGAAGTCAACATTGCAAAACAAATATAACTGCATAAAACTGAGATCCTGCTAATGCTTAGTGCACATATATCAAATGCAGGGCTTGCAATCTGAATCCAGCCCGTCAAGTCATGTTGTCTGCTACGCTTTCAATGCCAGGGCAACATAGTTACATTTATACAGTCTTACAGTTACAACTTTCCATTTGAAGGCAACTATAAGGCTGATGTGGCCCTCTGTGAAAATGAATTTGACACCCCTGGCTTAGTGGAAGAGGTCCTGGGAAGGTCCTTGTCCCACCATAATGCAGATAAACTGTGCAAATACATATCTCGAAAAGACTCTCTGCTGAGCCAGGACCCTCTTGACTCCAGGAGAAGGGAAAATGGAGCAAATTTGGGCAGAAACATTTTGTTTAGGGAAGTTGGATAGTAAGCTGGTATTGTATGTACAATTAGACATTTTGTTGAATGAATTAATGAGTTTATAAATGGCTCCTGAGGGGCAACTTTTTTTTCATTTTTATATTTGTTACTATAAATACTTCTGAAAACCTGCAAGTGGTAAATGTCTTTTTAGAAGAGGAAATGCTTTTTCTGTGGTGGCAGCTCAGGGGCACATGTGTATGTTTATGTGCCTTCAAGTCAAATTTCAACTGGCAGCAGCCCCTTGGATTTCATAGGGTTTTCTTAGGCAAAGAATACTCCAGGAATGTTTTTCTGTTCCTTCCTCTGAAATTGTGTGGTCTCCCATCTAACAGGGCTGGCCTGCTTATCTGGCAATATTAGAGAAATATAGTGCCATTACAGGTGTTTCAAAAACAATGCATATACAGTTTATTTTTTTTAACCTTTATGTGACCTCTAAGAGTCATGTAACTGAATAATTTGCTATATTAGTAATTTGAGTGTGTTGTTGATGTAAATAATTATGAAATTACTGATTAAAATTATCTTTTTCAGGATGCTTCTCAGAATATAATAGAAAATAAGGTGATGGCCTTTTTGTCCAGTGCTCAGACACCTGAGTTTCAAGCATCGATTGGCTATGTAGTGTCTGCTCTTGTGAACAGGTGTAAAGCAGAACCATCATTTTTTCCTCGGGATTGCCTGGTGCAGCTGGTCCAAACACAAGGCCTCTCTTACAGGTGACAGATGCTTCATTGGTTCTCATAAATAAGAAAAAACTGGGTATATGTTTGGAAGTGATGGCTATCAGAAGTTAGTTTCTTATTCAGCGTGGTGCTCCCAGCAATTTCTCTCATGTTTATTGTGTGGCAAGGAGTTTGTATTCGGTTTGTATGCATCTATCTGTGGAGTAACTGTTTGCTTTGTGTCCTAGTTTGTGCCCTGACTTAATGGCGGTTGCCTTGGAGAAAACAGATGTACACTTGTTACAGCTGTGCCTACAGCAGTTTCCTGACATCCCTGAAGCAGTGATTTGTGCTTGTCTGCGGACTTTCCTGAGGTGAGGCTATAGCCATTCTACCTGCAATTCTAATTTGGTTTTTAATTCTAGAATTAAAATAAAATGTTTTTGAAAATATTTAATCTGTTTAAGACTTAAAAGATGCCGTCTTGTGCCTTGAACCTAGATGACTACTTTGGCATGTAGTGGAAATGCCATATACTTTTCCATTAATTTATTGTATACGGAAGGCCCCAAGTTACAAACAAGATAGGTTCTGTAGGTTTGTTCTTAAGATGCATTTGTATGTAAGTCAAAGGAGATATATTTTTAAGTGTAACTCCGGATAGATACATAGATAGATAGATACTTTGGTTAACATAAGGAAGGGTTAACACCCCTGTGGTATTTGTTTTACTGCCTGTGTCCCTGTTCCAAAGATCTGACCTTACTTTCTGTCCCATTGAGAATTGGATTTTGAAAAAATTGGCTTGTTGTGGAAATAAGGATTGATTATAAGTTCCAGTAGAGACATCTTTTTCCCATAATAACAACTCTTACAGGAGTGACTTTCCATTCCAAGGGATAGATATCTCTCACTTCCTGTTGTCTCACCCCTGTTCTTAACTATCAGTTTAATGTTTGTAACTCGGAGACTGCCTGTATATGAATGCTATTCATAATAAGTCATTTGGTCTCCAATATTCTAGCTAACAGATAATACCATTTAATGATATGATCTCCATTTAAGAGACTATATCATTCTTCAAACTTTCTCTTTTGTCCACATAACATTTTACACATCCCCAGGGATTTTCCATGTTTAGACTGTAGGTTATTCTTAGACGAGACAAGGCTTGATTTTTGAAATCAAGAAGAACCGATTAACCACAGTAATTGCAATTACTCTGCAATTACTGTACTCAAAATACTGTCATTCCTAGAATACATTTTTGTTTTTCCTACAATGAGAAATTTATCAACACAGGTTGAATAATAAGACCTTTACAGTACATGCAAAAGAAGCTTCGGTTTTCTATATATCTTTTGCAATTGTACTTAATATTCCAATGTTAGGATTATTTTTAAACTCATCTAACTAAATGAAAGTACATTACTGTTTGTTGACTTTTTCTCCAGCATTGGTGATGACCGCCTTGAAGCAACAAATGTCAACCTAGATTCTCTAGCATGTCATGTTCATACTGTGCACAACAATAAGATGGAAAAGCAATCTAAAATTACACAGAATGGCTTCAGTTCTGAGCCCCTGGATGATGATGGCTGTGATGCACAGCTGCCACAGAAGTCTTCTGTAAAAGAAACAAAAGAAATGTGCCCTGTGGGACCACATAAAGCAAGTTTACTGTATCCTTTGTCAAGCAAAGAAAAAAATTGTGAAACATTGCTGATTTGAATTACAAAAGAAAAGTGAAACCAGGATTTTTCTTTTTATCTGCAGATTCTGAGTTGTCCTTGATTAGAGCGAGCAAGGGAAAAAGATGATCTTCAAATGCATTCTCTTTCTGTGTGTGTCTAGCACAGTACTTGCACGATTCCCCTGTGACTTAACAAGTATTGGTATTGGTAGTACTACATGGTCCACTTAAGACCGAACCAAGCTTTCCTACAATGGAACTTATACTTACGAAAGTTTCCTTCTCACTTTGGCAATTAGTTGATATCCCAAGTTCTATATAGCATGGCAGTTTTGAGCAGCATTAGTACTATTCCTTGATATAGGTTTAAAATCTTATTTCTAGGACAGATGCGGGTGTTTAGGCTCTAACTTCCATCTGCTGACATGGGCAGTGGTCAGGCATGATGGGAATTACAGCCCAGAACATCTAGGTTTGCATACCCATTGCAATTCCAGAGGAGTGCTTTTAGGGAAATATTCCTCCTTTGTATCTTGTGGTGAATATCCTCAAGCACAGCGGTTTCTAACCGGTGCTCCACAAAGACCTAAGAGCTCCATGTGCACTTCCCATGAACTGCTTCAGGAAAATAAAATAAATAAAGATTGAATAAAATTAAAGAATAAGAAACAAAAAGTATAAACAAAATAAGAAAACTAGATATCTCTTTACTTTACATTCCCTTAGTTTTTTTTCAAAGTTTATTGAATAGTCTATTGACCGCATCAACATTAAAAACAGTAAACCTTAGTATTTATTCCCTCTTCCTCCCCTTGTAACTACTTTTTTCTTTTTTTTCTTTTTCTTTTTTTGTCTGTCATGTCAGGAGCGACTCAAGAAACTGCAAGTCGCTTCTGGTGTGAGAGAATTGGCCGTCTGCAAGGACGTTGCCCAGGGGACACCCAGATGTGTGTGTTTTTTTATGTTTTATCATCCTTGTGAGAGGCTTCTCTCATGTCCCCACATGAGGAGCTGAAGCTGATAGAGGGAGCTCATCCGTGCTCTCCCCGGATTTGAACCTGCGACCTGTCGGTCTTCAGTCCTGCCGGCACAGAGGTTTAACCCACTGCGCCACCGGGGGCTCCATTAACACTACTTCTAAACACCATTAACTTGTAAGACATAGAGTACACCTAAGAGGCACTGCCATAGAAATTGATTCCAAAAGGGCTTCAGAAATCAAAAAGGTTAGTAACCATTACTCTAACAGTATCTTCAGTTTCAGAGAGTTCCCGATTCTGGAACTCACTCCCCAAGGATATCAGACAACCCCCCACATTGGCAGTCTTTAGGAGGAGCCTGAAAACGTGGCTGTTCCAGTGTACCTTCCCTGAATAAAGGAAACTGCCCTGCTCTGACCAATTCCCTGCAAAATGTCCTCAGAAGCACCTTAACTACCCATTGGGTTGGCATCGCTACATTATCCTTTAAAGCCCTCCTGCTTAGATACATCCTACCTCTGTTCGCACCCAGTGTTTATTTTAAAATTTTAATCTATTACATCTGGCCTGGCCATAAGGTTTTACATTTTTGTGGGTTATTGCTTATGTGTCAGTTATATTAATTGTACTGTTTTATTTGCTTGCTGTCTTGTTTTACTGATGTGTTGTTGGGCTTGGCCTCATGTAAGCTGCCCCGAGTCCCCTTGGGGAGATGGTGGCAGGGTATAAATAAAGTTTTTATTATTATTATTATTATTATTATTATTATTATTATTAATAGACTTTTATATTCCTACCTCAACTGTCAACAGCAGTACTTCTCAACCTGTGGGTCCCCAGGTGTTTTGGCCTACAACTCCCAGAAATCCCAGCCAGTTTACCAGCTATTAGGATTTCTGGGAGTTGAAGATCAAAACATCTGGGGACCCATAGGCTGAGAACCACTGGTCTACAGGGAGCACACTTTTCTTTTGTTTAAACAGCTCCACTGGCTGGCCATTCATTTCCAGGGATAATTAGAACTGCTTCTGGTTACTTACAGAACCAGAAGGTACTTTCAGGAATTGTACTTTTCCTTATGTCTCCGTCCTTGTTTTGAGTTCTTCTGTGGAGCCTTCCTATCTGTCCCATCACACTTCTGGGAACATTAAGTGGGAATATGGGGGAAAGCCTCTCAGTAGTTCTGGAATCCCCTCCCAGAGAATGTATACTAGCACCCTCCTCAGTATCTCAGATTATTACTATAGTCCTTTGATAATTTCTTCTTCAAGGAAGACATACCATGTATAATATGCTGGACTTTACTTCTAGTTGGTTTTAAAGGTGAGATGAAAATACATTTGATAACAGTTATTCCCTTGCTACTCTGCAGCTAGTATTGAGATTCTAATGTGACCGATATTCCTGAGTCCAAGGAATTTGGGAATCACATGTCCAGGTGCTTAATTAGTTTCCTCTACAACCAAAAGGAATCCTGTTTGCAAAATGGACCCATCACCATCCAGTTTTTAATATTAATGCTTTTAAAATGCTTTTATTTCACAACTATTGGTTTTGGGGACTCTTTTAGGGCAGAATAGAATATAACTCTTAACACATACAGATCCTTGACCATTGAACCTGAATATTATGCAGAAATACCATTCTTTGTTCGGCATATAGCGAAACCTTTCTTTTACCTCATTTGAAAGACCTCTCTGCTGAACAAGTCATAGTAAGTATTGGTGTCTTTCCCTAGAACGTTTTCTCAGTACAGTGACTGTTGAACCACGTATTAGCAGAAGTTGTCATTGAACATATTGGACCTTTCAAAATACTAAGTTACACAAAAGCTTATCCATGTATTTAAACAGAAAAAAAACATGTGATGGCCTTTATAAGTGTAGTCATTTTGAATTGCTAAATCCATTTAACCTATTACTTTGAAAAGGAAACAATATTTCATCTCTCACTGGTTCTCTAGGGTCTTTTTAGTCTCCAATGGCAGCATATTTTAAAAATCTTCAATTATTATGTCAGTCTTTACCTGTATTTATAAGATTAAGCTCTCCTCTATTGTTCTAATGCAAACCCTGAGACAGAATCTGTATCGATAAGAAGCAGAGTATGATTACTTTATAATATTGTACTTATTAGATTGGGAATTTTCCGAAATTTCGAACAGATTTCCTGATCTCTGAAGCTGAAATCAGTGTTGCCTTGTAATAATGTTTTCCTTTACTTGGAAAACACTCAACATTGTGTAATGTTTCTGAACGCTAGGGTTTAGTGCAGAGGTTCTCAACCTAGGGTCCCCAGATGTTTTTGGCCTACAACTCCCAGAAATCCCAGCCAGTTCACCAGCTGTTAGGATTTCTGGGAGTTGAAGGCCAAAAACATCTGGGGACCCCAGGTTGAAAACCATTGATTTAGTGTAAGGGAAATAAGAGATGAGTAGTTGTAAGTAACTGAATATTTGTTTGCTGATAGAAATATATTTCAAAACTATCAACGTACTTAAGCACGTGATTGAATTTGTTTTTTTCTTCTTCCTAGTTGTTTCTCCAGTATTTGCAGTACCTATATATAAAATGCAGTGTAGAGGCTACCACAGACTTTTCTACCGTATCTTCTGTGACCATAAATCAGGTAAAAAAAGTCATTAAAATACTTTTCTTGGATATGTCTGTGCAAGTCTGCTCCTTTTTTCTCACTGAAAGGAGCTATGTGCATTCTTCTATATCCAAGGAGGACAACTGACAGATTGAAGGTCAAATCTCCAACACCCAGGATTGTTCCCCCACCACATCTGTCTTAGGCAGTGGGAAGGTTTTTTTTTCAAACTAGGATATTGGGTTTACCTATGTTTTTTTAAAAAACAAAACAAAAAAATCCCCCAACCTTTTTTAAAGCAGGAGACATTTGATTGAGAAGGGCAGTCTCAATACATTGGGAGACCACCTTTTACCCCACTCCTCAATTAATTGTACCTGTAGAAAATTTTCAGACACTGTTTCATTTTTTTTTTTTTGCTCTACACTTTTATTTATTTATTTGCACTTAAATGCTTTGGTGTTTTCATTGTTTTGTACAAAAAGGTTAGTCTGTATTCTTAAGGGTGATGAGTGTTCCAAAACTGAGACTGTGTTCATTAGCCATTTTTGAGACTGTGGTCATTAGCCATTTGAATTAGTCTATAAGACTGCTTAGCTGGATGTAGATACATTTTCCTTACATTCCTGTGAGCAAAAGCTATATTTCATATATACCCCCATATTTTTTGTTGTTTTCAATTTGGTTTTTATATTCCCCAGTGGCTCTATTTCATCATTAAAATTAAAATCAGAACATAATTTTGTTGATTTAAAAAATAGGAACACTTGAAAAAAATGATTTTTTAAATTGTTGCCTCCAATGTTATGGTTTTATAATGGGTTGCTTGACCTTGTTGTTACATATATTTTTACCCCACCTTTCTCCCCATGGGGACTCAAGGCAGCTTAGAATAACATGAAACAACTCAATAAATGTAAAAACATTGCAAATAAAGAACTAAAATAATTAGATATTTGTGTCATGGATACAATTTAATTTTGTTATTAATTTTTTACCTTTTTGTATTTTGTTGTATTTGCATTCTGTTGCACTATTGAGTGCATCCTGTGAGCCGCCCCGAGTCCCTCTGGAGAAATGGTGGCGGCAGGATACAAATAAAGTTGTTGTTGTTGTTGTTGTTATTATTATTATTATTATTATTATTATTATTATTATTATTATTATTATTATTATAAAATACAGTTAAGATACAATAAAAATATTCATACAATTAAAATTATATTTAAAACAAAATATCCTCCCCCAACTCCTGCCCACAACTTCCCTTGTAGTGTGATTCTTGTCCTTCCTCAAAGAAATGTCTGAACCAGGTCTCTCTTGAAGTGAGGTTCCATGCACTTCAAGCTAATGAAAATCTGGGAGCATAGATTAAATATTCTAAGATGTTTCCGTTTATTTTCCAGCAACCATAATTGATGCTGCCTGTGTTCTATCTAGGTTTGCTACCCTTATGACTGTCAAATATGTGCTAACCAAAATATTCAGTGAATATATATGATCTTGAATGCTTATCTGAATGTGTCTCTAGTGGGGACAGGACAGTGAAGGCAATTTAGAGATATGCATTACATTGCTTGGGTGCTGCTGGTAGGAGTGAAGGACTCATTTTACATGACATTTAAATTGAATAAAACTATCATTTTCCCACATAATATATGCGCTTTCAAAGGAAAGTCTGAGCAAATATTATTCTGTTAGCATCAGTATTAAATCTAAAATTGTAAGCCTGGATACTTGCAACAAAACTCTTCCTAAATACTTAGATGGTCTTTCATTTAAAGAAACAGAACATTGGGGTGTAATATTCTTGCATTCCACTTAACTTAAAACAGCACTGACTTCATTTTCAGATCATGGACTGGATATACCTCCTTCTGGATGCTCATTTTACAGTGGTTGTGATGTTGCCAGAAACAAGAAGACTGCTTTATACATTGCACAAGTTTGTAAGAGCTCAAGTAAGTTATTTTCCTCTCGATTATAGGAGGGCAAATGTATTATAGGAGGGCAAATGGCAAGCCACAATCTGCATATGACCCCACAGGGCTGTTTCTTGAGGTCCCTTGAAGTAATAATAATAATAATAATAATAATAATAATAATAATAATTTATTTGTATACCGCCCTATCTCCCCAAAGTGACTCCGGGCAGTTTCCAACATATAAGACAAAACATTCAATACATTTGTAAAAAAAAGTTGGCCACAAATGCCCTCTAAGGGGAGTAATTAGCTGTTTGCTCTCCCATCAAGGCTCAAGAGAGTTTTATATTTACTTCCACACTTTTGTGTTTGTTGAAAATGTGAACAAATTGCTTCTTATCATAATATAAATATCTGATATGCAGGATGTATTTTCATTGTTACAAACTGAACATAAAGCATAATGATTAATCACAGAAACAATATGTAATTATATATTATGAAATATTTATTTCTGATTACAAATTAATTAGATTTTGACTTCAAGCTTGTCGCAGCATGGGTAACAGTCTTAATATAACAGTAGGGAACTACTACTTTCAAAGTAAGAGCCGCACAATTAAACAGGGAATAACACTTTCAAACCAAGAACAGATTTTTGTTCTCCAATTTGGCTACAGAGTGTGATTCCAGGTGGGAAGGTTTGACCAAAGCAGGAGATCAGAAGAAAAGGACTTTATTATTATTATGTTTATTTATACACTGCTTTTTGTCTCAACAAGGAGACTGTGGGCCCTTCCAAAGACAGGCCCTATATCCCAGGATCTGATCACAGGTTTTCTTCTTTAAACTGGATTATATGAGTTTACACTTGATTATATGAGTCCCTAGAAATCAGATCCTGGGATATAGGGCCTGTCTGGAAGGGTCCTCAAAGGGATCTTCCACACAGCCATATAACCCAGAATATCAAGGCAGATAATCCACAATACCTGCTTTGAAGTGCATTATCAAAGTCCACACTGCCATATAAACCAGTTCAGTGTGGATTTTATACAGCTGTGTGAAAGGGGCCAAAGCAGCTTACATTTCAATACAATTTCAAATCTATAAATATATGAAACATTACAACAGAATTAAACATCATTGGTATTCTTTAAGGCAGGCATGGGCCAACTTGGGCCCTCCTTGTGTTTTGGGCTTCAATCCCCACAATTCCTAACAGCCTACCTACTGGCTGTTTTCACAGCAGGAGCCTGGATTTGCCGAAGAGAAGCAGAGGACAAAGAGGGGAAGAAAAGGAACCCCAAGTTTTGTCCAGGAGGCTGGTGTTTCTACCACCCCCACTCTCTCCTTCCTGTTTAACTTGGGGGGGGGGTGGCTTTGCAGCCGCTCCATGAGCCCTGCGCCTAGGTAGAGGTGGAGGGAGGGCTGGGTGGCGAGGGGAGGTTTGGGACTTCCTGTTGGCTACACAGCTCTGTCTTTTCTGGAAGAGCGGAGGCAAGGAATTCTCTTGCATCTGCTCTTCCAGGCAGTAGCCGCGTCGCTCCAGACCCACCGCCACCTCCTCTGAGGAAGAAGAAAAAGAAGAAAGGGATATAAAAAGAAGAGGAGAAAGGGAGAGAGAAAACAGGGAAAAAAGGAGAAGGGAGAAAGGAGAAGAAAGAAAGAGGGAAAAGGGGAGAGACTGAAATGGGGAGAAAGGAGAGAGCATGAGGGGGAGACAGAAAGAAAAGAAGGAGCTCTGCATTAGCAGAGCCAAGCCTGATTCCACTGAGAGGGAGGCCGCCTCCTCAGCGGGCTGGATAAATGCCCTTTGCGGGCTGCATGTGGCCCACGGGCTGTAGTTTGAGGACCCCTGTTTTAGATGATGCTACCAAGTTCTCTTCCCCTGACCAAAAATAAAGTTAACGTTTTTCTTGGTTACTGCATGCTGTCTTTTTTTTTCTCATGATGGTGAAAACAGTTACTTTTGCCATTATTTGCAGTTCACCCCTTGACTCCTTATTTTTCTTCTCAGGCACGTTTTTACTCCGATCTGAACAAGATTGAAGCAAGCCTGAAAGAGTTAAAGAGGATTAACCGACCAAAAGATGGAGGCTTATATTCCATTGAAGTTCTGAAACTTGTTTGAAATTGATACATTTGCCATAAAATAGTTATAAACCCATTGTGGAACATTTGTGTTGATTTTTTTTAATTGCACCTTTTTTAGGAAGCTTTTCTCCATGTAAATAAGTGCAAAAGTTGCATTTCTTATTTAACTGATGAACAATAATGTTAAGAGTTGGCATTTGGGGTCTTCCAGACGTTTTTGGACTACAGTTTCCATCATCGAACACAATTTGCTATGCTGCTATATGTTGATGAGAGCTACAGTCAAGCAGCTTCTGGATGTGTACAAATATGCCAGTGCTAGATTATGGTATCACTGTAAGTCATATTATGTCTGTACCATCACAATTGAGGATCGTGTATATCAAATTTAACTCTGGTTTCCTTAGAAGACATAAAATATACATAAGAACATATTCAAAGGAAAGCAATAGACAGGAATAGCTTCTTCTCATTGTACAGGCAGTCCCCAAGTTACAAAAGGGATTGGTTCTAGGGATTGGTTCTATAAGTTTGTTAATAAGTTGAATTTAAGTCAGAACAGGCACTTTTTAAAGTGTAACACCAGCCACAGACATATACACACATATGTATGTATGTATACATATACATACACACACTTTGCATAGTGTTTGTTTTGCTGTCTGTGCCCCTGTTCAGAAAATTTCACCTCACTTTCTGTCCCTGTGATGATTGGATTTTGACAAATATGGCTTGTTGTGGAAACAAGGATTGGTGATAAAGTTCCAGTGGAGACATGTTTTCTCCATGATTATGTGTCACCTCTGTTCTTAACTATGAGTAGGATGTTTGTAACTCGGGGGCACTTTACAATTATAGTCTGCCAGTGTTTGCATAGACTTGACTAGCTTGCAAACACACACAGCAAAGGTACTATATATGCTCTATATTAGCTGACCCTAATATAAGCTGAGGCACCTAATTTTACCACAAAAAACTGGGAAAACTAATTGACTCAAGTGTAATTTACCAGTAGCAAGGTGCACTTTTTCTCCTATGTCTTAAAGCACCACAGGAAAAGAGTAACACAGAATGGATATGTGTAGTTAAACTTTGGGTTCGGTTTCATTCCACTTTGGAGTGCTGCCGCTTCTGCAGCATCCTTAGTGGAGATTTGTAGCTTCCACATCTTTTACCAGACATTATAAATTCAGAAAATTTGTTCTGGCCCTTTGCTAGACATTTTCTACAACAGATTGTAGTTATGTAGAGATGTATCGCCTGCCTGGTAGTTGCAGTGACCACTTGTGCATGTCTCAGTGTAAGGATTCCCTGCCCACATTGGTACTTAGGTTGTTGTAGGTTTTTTCGGGCTATATGGCCATGTTCTAGAGGCATTCTCTCCTGACATTTCACCTGCATCTATGGCAAGCATCCTCAGAGGTAGTGAGGTCTGTTGGAACTAGGAAAAAGGGTTTATATATCGGGTCATTCCACAGATATATAATGCCATAGATGCAGGCGAGACGTCAGGAGAGAATGCCTCTTTAGAACATTTCTCTGAAACATGTCATAGAAAAACTTTTAAATGCATTAACAACTAGAGAAGGTAATGTTCCCCATGAAGTGAGGGCCATGACTGAAACAGCAAACTGGAAGAAATCAAATTTCTGTGATTATGCACGTATATGCCATAGATGTGGGTTAAATGTCAGGAGAGAATGCTTCTAGAAAATGACCATACAGCCGGAAAACTCACAGCAACCCATGTATATGTACTTCAAGCAGTGACATCACTAGAGTTAATACAGTAAATCAGGCTGTTATGTCAATCGATCTCCTCCCAAAGGGAGCCTAAATACCTCTCCTGCAAGTTCAGCCAATTTCTTTCCTAATTCAGCCTCCTCCATTTGATAGGTTTGAGTTGTAGCTGCTCCTGCAGTGGTAGATGCTGTTGGTATTGTGTCTGTATTGCTTCCCCTCCTTTCAGCCACATCCCACCCACCCCTTATCCCTATTTAGCAGCTGAACATGCAGCCTTCCTTGGCCACAGCTCTGCCGCACATCTATGGTGCCAAGGATTCCCTGGCAATTGGCAGGAGCTGCAGCATTGGCTCCATTTTTAGCCACTTCTCTTAGGAACTTGCAGGGCACCCGCTGTGATTTCACATAGGGGCTTCTTCCTTTGCTGCTAGAGACATCCAGCATTAATTGCCCTTCTGATGGTGTCACCCAGTTCACAATGCACCCTCTTAATGAACCCACTGCTTGGAAGTTGCATGTCATCTTTTGGCAACTCCATTCATTTCATAGGGTTTTCTTAGACAAGGAATACTCAAGCCCCTTCTACACTGTCCTTATATCAGTATATCTCCTTTCAACTGGATTATAGTCTCCGTCACCAGATAATCTGGGATAAGCAGATAATTTGGGATCAGATCCTGGATATGGGGAAGTGTAGAAGGACCCTCAGAGATGGCAATTCCTTCCTCTGGAATATAACCTAGAAGACCTGGGATTGGTTGGCAGATTCCCATTCAAGGAGTAACCAGGGCTGATCTTGCTTAGCTTCCAAGATCTGACAGGATCTGGTGCCTTTAATAATGTCATTGTGCTATTGCTCAATTTTTTWAAAAAAGAGATTCAAAGCAGAATTAAACTGATAATGAATGAAATAGTTTTAGCAATAACTAAATATCTTTTCAGTTTTTCCATATACTAGGACAGACGGAAAGACGTGATGTCATTCTCGGCCATATGCATAGCAAATAGAACAAGAATAAGAAGATAAGTCAAAAACTGTGATAAATCACTGCTTGGACAAATTAAAGCCAAAGAATGTGCTGAGATAGATAGATGGACRGACCTCCAGATAGAYRGA